AGCTGTCGCCCTGCAGCCCTGCTTCTTATAACCCTTGCTTAGGAAGCCGGGTTTTAACCCACCATTAAAAACTGGAGTAGTAAAAAAAAAAATCACGCAAGCCGTCCCTTTCACCCCAAAAAGGGACATCTCCAAGGCGGTGTCTACAGTGAACGTGCCACCACAGCAGCACAGCTTGGAAGACGAAGAACATATATAGAGAATATATATATATATTTGTTTTGTTTTGTTATTTATAAGCACTACAGAGGGCTTTTTAGTGTCAATTTCAGTACTACCAAGCCACCGAGCGACCCGACCCGAGGGGGACACGCGGGGCAGGCGGGCGCGGAGCCGCTCCCCAAGCCCGACCCCGGACCCGATCCCGGTGCCGGTGCCCGATCCCGGTGCCTGGTGCCCGGTGCCCGGCCCCTTACCTGTCCCCGTGCCCCCTGCCGGGCGCCCTCGGCAAAGTCTGGCGGCCGGTTCGGGACGGGCCAGACGGGGCGGCCAGAGGGGGGTCTCTCCCCGCAGCCCCCGGCGCCAGGCGCCGTCCCGGCCGATCCGATCCGATCCGATCCCACCCGATCCGATCCGGTCCCGTCCCGGCCCCCGGCCCCCGTCCCCGCGGCGGCCCCGTCCCGGCGCTGTGACTAAAATAGGCAGCGGCCGCCGCCGGGCTGCGGGCGGCGCCAGGAGCGGGGCCGGCACCGAGCGGCCGCAGAGCGCAGGCGCCTCCCGGCGGCCCCGGGGGGCTGCGGGGTCCCCCCGCCGAGGGGCTCCCGGCTGCGGGCACGGGGGGCGCTGGGGGACGGGCTGAAGGGACGGGGCGGCAGCGAGCGGCAGGGAGGGAGGCGCTGGGGCCGGCCGGCGGTGGGGCGGATAAAATTAGCAGCGCCCCGTTCCCCCCGAAACGCGCGGCCGGCGGCGATTCCCCTACATGGCGAGCCCGGGGCCAGCTTGGCACCTGCCGCGGCCGCCTGGTCGCCGGCGGCTGTGTCAGGCAGCGGGGCAGGGCAGGGCAGGGCAGGGCACGGCACGCTCCGTCTGTCGGCGGGCAGACGGAGGGACGGCGGGACTGCCCGCCCGCACCGCCGCCACGGCAGGGCAGGGGCTTCGTTTGCAGGGTGTTGGCATCCCAAGCCCGTCCCCGTGGGGACCTGACAAAGTGACCGAAGTGAGGGGCTGCAGTGCCTTCCGATGCCTCCCAAAGCAGCCCGTCGGAGAGTTGTGCCTTTTTATAGCATCTTCAGGCTTCTCGCACTTCCCAACAGGGTTTGGGGGGGGCACGGTGATGAAGCAGTGGCTGTTCGGGGATATCCATACAGTGGATCTCTATATGGGTATCTACATAGTGCATACGGATCTCTATATGACTGTCAGTATGGTTATAGAGATAGCATAGATAACATTGTTTGAGTAGAATGAGCTCTTCCAAGTTTATTCTCAAGCCAAGGTCTCACGTGCCGCAGGAGAATGTGGTTTAAATCTCTTCAATGTTCAACTGTTAAACCAGTGTGAAGGCACAAAGAGTTGTTTTAACCTCCTGTCTATGCCAATAAAGCACATCTTCATCAAAGTCTGCAAATATAAATTAACCTGACAGAGGTCAGACACAAAAACTATGTGCTCCACACGTATGAGGGGTTGCCTTCACACAGCCAGATCGATTTTTAGGTGTGTGTTGGATTGATGCATTGAGTTCGTAGAGACGGGTCTAAGCGCTGGCACTACAGCTGCTCAGTGATGCAAACTTTCCCTCTGTTGTGTTTCTCTCGTTTGCTGTTAACTTGATAGCTTGTGTACTTTCTCCAGTTGTTTAGTTATCTTCCCCAGTAATGGCCCACAGCAGACAATGTCAAATGGGGGTTGCAAGTTACCCTGTTTTGTGCCTTATCTCCATTGCTCTGCTTTGTGATCTGCGACAGTGTAAGTGAACCTTGAGGCTTGGCTGCTTTCTTACGCATTGTAAGGAGACCAAAGATGTGCTTATACACAGGGCAATGCAGCTCGGCAGAGGTCCTGCGTGAGGCCAGGAGCAGAGGTGGGAGCCGAAATTCCTCCTTCTGTGCCTGGGCTCAGTGCAGCGAGGTTTTTTACTACACAGGCTGTTGAGTAGCTTCTTCTAAGATCGCAAGAGCTCTGCCTCTTCTGAATGAGCGCCTCCGATTCCACGGCCTTTTTTAGGCAAAGTTTTTTCACTAAAGAGAACAAATGCTTTGTATACCTAGCTGCTCTAGCTCTGGATCCCAGATGTGCCAAGCTGACACAGCTATTTTGAGACAATGGCAATGATCTATGAAACGTTTCCATTTATAGTTTCAGGAAATGTCCCCAGCATCTGCAAACCCAGAGATCTCTGCTCTAAACTAATTTTTTAAGTCACAGAATCACAGAAGGGCTGAGGTGGGCAGGGACCTTCTGGAGGCCATCTGCTCCAACCCCCCCTGCTCAAGCAGGGACACCCGGAGCTGCTTGCCCAGGCTCACGTGGTGGTGCCTGTTGAGGATCTCCAAGGGGGAAACCCCACAGCCTCTGTGGGCAACCCGTGCCTGTGCTCCATCACCGCACAGCACAGAAGTGCTGCCTGGTGTTTAGATGGAAAAAATTCCCCCTACAGAGCATGCAGGGGGGCTCACTCAGGAAATAATTAATCCTGTATGTGTATGTTTGACAACCGTCTGAAGGGGGGTGAAATACGCTGGCCGTGTGTGGTGGCTGGAGGAAGCCTGGATGTGTAGTTCAGAACTACCACATTTCAGTGAGACAAATCCCATTACAGACGCTAAAATTACGTGCCATGTGACTGAAATATTGCACACATTTTCACAGAAAAATTATTGATTTGGGTTTTCTCTGAAAGCATCCTTGAGAATTACATTTTATTACAGGGAAGTTTATATTGAAGGGGTTTTGAATGATAAATACTCTCTCAATTCTTCAATATTCTGGAGGGTTTCTTATATAATATATAGGAGGAGCCAACACATTCTGGCACATCTTTACCCCATCCCCTCTGACAGTCACTTTCTGATGCATCACAGCATAGTCTGGCCGTGTTTCCCATGGCACGCCTGCAGCGAGGGTGTCTCCTCTTTCCACAACAAGGGCTTTCTTTCTGTGAGCTGTGGGCTTTCGAGTGTCTGACTGACAGTACAGGAATCGATAGCTGCAAACCTGTCAGCCAGGATCCAAGTGTCTTCTAAAACCATCTGTCAAAGTATCCAAGTTTTAGCAGATGCACAGGTTGTCGTCAACGTTTATCCAAAGGGTATACGGTCATGAGGTACAAAGGCACAGTGAAACTGTTTGCTCTCGAGGTTATCCAAACTATGCACTGTAAACAATTTATTTAGTCACGTTTAGCAGTTATCCCTGTTCCTCAATTATGTGTGATGCTGACAATTTAATTTGTATTTAAGTTGCTCAGGGAACAATTTCTGTGAATGTAGACAAGCCTGTGGTCTGCTCAGAAGTGCATTTTCGCAGCCTGATGACTGCAGAGCCTGCTATGCTACACTCTGTCTGCCTGAATCACACGATGACCAAAAAAATAAAAGGAGACCTGCTATAAAAACTTACCATGTATCACAGTGCACCCGTCACTGCTAAGGGCAGTGGGGAAGGGCAGGGGGTCCATCCCAAAGGGATTTCCCTGGTTCTGGAAATAGAGGGATACTGGGAATACTGGGACTACTAGGTCCGAGCACATCATGTGTCCAGGAGGCAAGCTGCTACTGCTATTTACCACAAGGCATGTGTGAAGCAATGCAGCAGTTCCCGAGCTGGGCACCCAGTCCTGAGGGACGTGACAATACAGAGATGTCTGTGCAAATCCTCATGTACAGCCGTCTTTGCCACAGATCACAGCAGAGGTGTGTGAGAATGTGTTATCCTGTCTGGCTGCCCGAATAAACCAAAGGAATTGCAAACGTTGGCAGGGCATAACTACGAACATACTTTTTGGTGTTGGTACAATTGCAATTCATGTTTTGTTGCAATATTAGTCCTTTTTAGCTGTGCCAGTGGCTGGTTTTGAGAAATGAAGGCTAGGCTTGAATTTCCAGGACTTCGTAGCTATGCATCATTAAAAACTAGTTTTCTAGGATCTTTTTAATTATCATTATTGGTAAGTATTTACAATTTTATTTCAAGACAAAAAAAAAATAGATGAGAAGTGCTTAGCATGTCCAGAAGGATTGACAGAACTCAAAAAAGTAAAAAGGAAAGAAAAATATTTAAAAAGTTAACAAGTACTCAAGGAAGAAGGAAAAAGAGGAAGTGAGGGGAGACAGAAGATGAGTCTACTGCTTTATTTAAACAAATGACAGAGAAAGCATGTAGGATTTGAGAATGAAAATACTCCACACTCTGAGGGGGAAGAAAAAGTAAACAGATTAGCTCAGAAGAACTGAGAATGGGCATGAGATAGCTTTTTTTAAGGCTACATTTATCTTTACAAAAAGATATGATGAGATGAGAGCAAGAGTGGGGACAAAATGCATAATCACTGATACTTGGGAAGAAAGTAAGCTAAAATAAATACTAGGAACGAAAGATCAAAAGCACAAAGCAAACCTGGAATGCACAGATTTGGTCCAACTGCACACAGAAACACATCGCTGTAGCTCAAATATCAGGCAGGAGCATTTGATACACTTGTTCAGACTAGCAGTCCTAAACAGGAGTCTTCGAAATGCATCCTGTTTTGAGCATAAACCTCAAAAGATAATAAACACCCAATTTCTTGACTGAGTTAGCTGCTTCCTCTGCTATTTCAGTCAGCATTGAGCAGCTGCTGAGGAGGGTCTGGTCTGCATTTACTGAACTCCTCGGCTGTAGGTCCAGATGCTGGACCTCAGTTCTGCATCTTGTAAATGACTACCAAAAAGCGTGCCATGGTATGTCACACTGCAGCTTCTTCTTGCTACTGTTTGAATGATCTTCAAGAGTCAAACACAGAACACAGAATTATAAAAGAAAAACACTCTTATTTCAATGAATAAATAAGACCAGTCTTCTGATTAATGTTTATTATATTTTTTGTTCTGTAAAGAAAAAAAGCAACAAACAGAACCCTATTATATAGGGTTAAAAACAGGGATACATACTGCAGTAAACAAACATAATATATATATATGGTTATTGCTTTTGCATGTAATATTAGCTTAAATATGCATACCACCGTATAAAGCAGATTCAGAACTAAAATTGCAATGTCTATGGTAAAAGTAGTAATAATTTATAACAAAAAATATAAAAAATGTTTTATATTCCATATCATTTTAAAATATCCATATATATTGTGTGTGTGGTTTTTTTTCCTACTAATAATTATTCATTAATTCTTTAACATATGAACATATATATTTAAAGGATACTGCATGTTTTGAAAAGCCATAACCAAACAAAAAAAAATGTAGACCTAGTAAAATTCAGAGGATGGAGCAGTATGACTGGTGTTTAAGAAGTCCCCATTCACTTCACTTGGGAGAGCTGCTTAAAAAGTCATCTGAGAGAGCCCTACCTTTCTATCAAGGAAAACAGGAACACTTTTGCTTCATATTCAAAATAAGTATTCAAAATATTTTTTATTTCTAAGCTAAATCTTGTACTAAAATAGAGCATCTGCTACTGCTGCATTCACTAAAAATTGTAGAGATTTTAACATGAAGGTAACAAACCAAGCACGGCACAGATTTCCTAGCACAACAGCTATGTCGCACTAACTGCTGATACCCATACTCATGTACCCTAGCAGACATGGACTAGACCACCTCACTTTTTTTAGGGGATGTTATTTCATGTTTACCACGGTGTACAAGAATGCACACAAGCAGATACAGGGATTACCTGATGGGTTTTCATCCCATCTCATAGCAGTACCTGCCAGCACCCCACCATGCAGACCATGTCCTACAGCTGGGTCCCTGCCATCCCAAACCTGCAGCTGGGTATCTAGATATTCCCATGTGCATCCTGTGGTTCACTAAAACCCTCAGGTGGGAAGTGCTCAGCATGTGTGATGTCCCATCTCAGCCTTGCAAGCCTAGGCACCAGGCAGGTCTCTGTCTACTTGGGGTCACAAAGCCCAAAACCCTTCCCAAAGGCAGGTGCCCGCACACATCCCCTCACAGAGCAGCCTGCTACAACGCCCCCATATAAAACATGGTTGCTGGAGAAGATGGTGGGGCTGCCTGCTCCTATACAGCCAAGTCAGAGCACTGAGCCATGAAACGGGACTGCTGGCCTTCTCAGCCTAAGGGGCCTTTACACCTTACTCCTGGAAAACTACCGCATCCCCCTGGCTTTAGACAAGTTCAAATCCACCTCAAAGGGAGTGCAGGGAGACGGTATGACAGGAAAGAAAAAGGCTCAATGAGAGACATTCAGCCATGTCCCAGGAAGCAAGGCCTCAACACACGTAGAGGTTGTCTGGGAGGACAGACATCTTCATGACGAGAGCCCCTCCTCTCCTGCCCCTTTCCCACGTGGCATGGGACATCCCTTTGGTCCCTTCAGGTCAGCTGCCCTGGCGATGTCCGCTCCCCAGCTCTTGCCCACCCCAGCCTGCTGGCTCTGGGGGTTTGGAGGCAGCCCTGGTGCTATGCCAGCACTGCTCAGCAATAGACACAACACCGGCAGTAATAACAGCGCTGCTCTAGCTCAAGTGCAGAGCACAGCCCTGTTTGGGCTGCTGCAGGGCGAGTTAACTCCATCCCAGCCAGACCCAGGACAAATAGTTATTTACCACCATTATTTTATTGCAGTTGTTTATTCCTTTGACACCAGTGAATTGTCTTAGTCTTTTCTGCAAAGACAAAGAAGTAACAGTGCTATCCCCACAACACACCAACAGCGTGGTGGAAGAGACAACTGAATAAAACTACTTGGGAATCCACAGCAGGACAACTGCTGTAAAATCCCGCTCTGACAGGCTTTTGGGAACATCCCACCTTCTCCACAGTCCATGACAATGTTTAACAACGTTTGTGGCTTGCAGAATGATGACGGGACAAACCCCTCTGCTGGCAGAACCACCTGCAAAGCTGCTCAGCAGAAGGGCTCTGCCAGCCCTGGCTTTGGAGGTGGCTCCAAATCCTGCACACCATCCCCGTGCCAGCGTTCCCTGCAGTTCCAGCTGCTCGCGGAGCCTCCAGCAGTGGCCGGGTGCCTCACATGATGTGCTCCTGACGCTGCTCCTACACACTGGTGCTTACAGAGCTCCACCTACACCGCTTGATTCACCACGAGGAGGTGGCATTATTTCCAGGCTAAGTTCAATTAACTCCCTTGACTCACACAGAGCATGCGGTGCAGACTGCAAATGTTAGAGCAGTACAGTGAGAGAGCAAACAGTCCTTCAGCACGTCTGTATGTATGAATTTCTGGCATTAATAATCTGGATTATTACAAACTATTTGCTCACTCTACTCTTAACACACGATGTGCTCAAACCCGTAATCCAGATTATTAATACCAGAGCATTCAAGCACTACTCAGCTGTCTTTCTCTTTTTTAACCAATTCTGACAACTTCAACAGAAGGCATGCTGCAGCTCGTACTGCCTCTGCCCTCTGCCCCAGGAGATTAAGCGGAAACTGCAGAGCCACAAAAATCTACCAGACAGAAAAGTTAATGTGATTTGGACAAAGAGTGAAAAAAATGAAATGGCTGCTTTCCCTTGGAAAACCCAAACCTATTATATTTTATGCATACTAATAAAAGCACAATAAGTATTTTCAAGAGAGATTAACAAATCAGCTTTATAAAGTATTTACTTTGTTGTATTGTAAAAAAAATCTGTGATGCCGTAACACTTTGGGGCAGAAGAATATGTACTCAAATATTAAGAGGAATAGAGAGGAAGAAAAAAATTTAATCTGTTAATGTGAATTCAGCAAATATATATTTCTTTCCATTTCTTCTGTTTAAATAGTTTTATCTAAATAGCTTATGGATTCATTTAATTTTTAACAGATGGTTTGCAAGACCTGTTTATGTAAGCAGTACAACACTGTATTTTATTTTTTTCATGTATATTGAGCCCAAATATGTATTATATTTATCATTAAAAATATTTAAACACCATAAACACCATAGAGTGTTTTTTTTTTTCTTTCTAGAAATTATCATCAACATATTATTTGATTACTGCAAGCATCTGCCTTTTTTTGAGGTATGGCAAAACTATATATCATCCAAGCATGTATCCAGTTTTCCCAGCATTATCCTAGCAGATGTCATATAGATGTGTATAGTTTGACACAATTATTTCCATTCCATTATTGAGTTCCCTTTGAACCCTCTGCCACATCTGCTGGTTTGTTGCGGGGCAATTAATTCTTGAAAATGTAGGACTGGGATGGACCTCCTTAGCTACCACGTCCAGCCTCCGTTAGAACAGGCAACCGCATCAAATAATCTTTTTCATTAAGCATTTACAATTTGCCTTGCATAGCACTATTAGTTAAAACAGTACATAAGGATACATCCTGTCTGGTATTTTGTAGTTCTGAGTGGAGTTACATGCTAGAGCAAAAACATTTCTGAGGTTCTGTTACCTGTACTTACACTACTGCTTGTTCAGCAAGTAGTACCTAACAAAAGAACTACAGGGTCAGTCCTATGCTTATTTAAGGCATTTATCAGACGTGCATTGCTCTGCCAAAGGAGTGCAGGCAACCAGCCACTGGGGCACCCCCAGAGAGGGAGGACTCACTTTGAAGATCTCACAATATATTACTGCATCCAATAAATCGATTTGCCATGATCCAAATTTTATAAAAGCCTCTCATGGATAACTTTTTTTTGGCTCCTTGGACTGTCCTGGGCCATGTACTTTTTTTGGCTTGTGCAGTAATATGAAATTTGAACCTTTCTGCAGGCTGGAAGGGCAATTCAAGCACAACGTTCACAATCCTAAAAACTCTGGAGGATGAACTGCTGCAGACAAATGAGCAAACAGCCATGTGCAGCAGATTCTGACACTCTTACCTATAAAAACATTCACATCTAGACATAACCCCATAGAAGATTATGGAAATGTTAAAAACATAAAATGTGAGTACTGGGAGATCTGCTGATCAGAAAAGGATTCACGATAGTGTCTTCAATTCACAAGGCAGCTCTGATGCAATTATGCTTTCACTTAAACCGATTACTAGGGAGCCTGACCACCTCTCTGACAGCTACTCCTGAGTAATAACATGGACATAACTGGGATGATGTTCAAGTTGAAACTTCATCTTGCTCCAGATGTTTACAAACCTACAAGTGGGTTCATATGACATCATAAAAGATTGTATTATTTCACAGACATCATTCTGAGTACTTCTTTACTGAGGTAAATTAGATAGATCTCCCAAAATACTGTTTTATGAATCACATACCAGCATGTATTCTCTATAGTAACATTTTAGGAGCACTGTCAAAATAAAAAAAAAAAACAAACAGGGGTGTAGAGGGCTTGGTGTCTCACTTCCCGTCCTTTGTGTGCACATATTTTATTGTAGATATGTGCCCTGAATTCTACAGCTGAAATGTTCTGCCAGTCGTGACTCAAACAGATGCTGAAAAACTGGAGATGATTTTAAAAAAGTGACTCAAAGCCCAAAAAGCAGAGTATCAAAAGCTAAACAAGATTACTTAAGAGTATGTTCAGATATTGACTCAGTCATGTCCTAGTAGAGATTTCTGACAGTAACTGATTCAACCAGAGAAAAGCATCACAAAGAGCAAACTGTGGCTGGAAAGAATGCTGAAACTAAGGCACACGCTAGTCATGAGGAAGGAAAAAATTACCTAAGGATGTAATGAACCACCCATCACTGCAGAACAGGTCCCTCTCTATGCAGAAAGCTATAGCTTAAATGGAATACATACACTTAATACAGAAATTGGGTGGGCACAATTCCTTGGTCTTATCTTGAAGGTGACAGTGATCATAGCGGTTTATTAAATACTGGCCCTATTTAAGTTAAGGCAAGCTTTCCAATGGACATATACAGGACAAGTCCATATATTCAAGAATACTGAGAAGAGCATTAGTTCATGCTTTATACTATGCCTTAGTCCTGAATACCAGTTTTTATGTTTCTAGACTATAACCTTTATATGCTTGTAGGCTGATAACACATAAAATGTCAGGTATAAACTTCATCTTGGTCCAACACGTTTTATAGCAAAAGAAAGTTATAAATTCTTGCCATTTTATCAGGAGAGGTTGGGGGGGGTGTCTATTTTTGAATCACCTGTTAAAAAGGACCGTAAAAGCTCCTCAGCGTGTGGAACGGCCACCAGCAAGAGCTCGGCTGGTTGAAGCAGAGGCTGGATGTGCAGCACAGAGCATGGGTGGCCGCATCCGTGGGAAGGGATGCGCTCTTCACCCACTGCAGGCAGTGAGCTCCGCCGACAGGTAGGCCATGATACTAATCGCAGTGCTGAAGTGATGTGAGAATACCACTCCCGAGCCACACCAAAGGGTCACACAGCCTACTGTGCTGTCTCTTCTCCACCACCTAAGGAAAAGACCAGGGTGCACAGCTCTGACCCCTAACACCCTCTCCCAAACTCTGGTACTGTGTGCCTTAGGTATTTCCTGAGCCAGTCTTCAATAACTGTCAATGACTTCTCCTTTCACATTTTACCAATTCTCTCTTGACCAAGACAAAGTCAGGGACTTCACACAGTCGGTAACAACCACGGAATACATAATGTGGAAGGGCTATTAGCAGGATTTAGGGATTACCACGTTACATGCTGTACTAATGTCTGGCAGATTACTAACATCTCTGAGAAAGGGATATAAAGATGAAAGCAAAGCTTAGGAAACACTTTTCTACATCGAAGGCCATTCAAACAGGGCTGTTTCAGATCACTTCTAATAGTGTTGTTAAATGTCCACTGCCTGACTACCTTTCGAGAATGAGGTTTTAGCATTGTTTTACGCCCTCCAGCACCAGCACTCAAGATCTGAACTCATATATGCACCTGCACACACACAAGCACGCAGCAGTTGTCCTACCAAACAGTCCAGCAATTTTGGATTTTAAATATTAAAGATGTGATCTATCTCAAGATCTATCAAGCAGCAATATGGTTTCATAAAATAGTAATGCTTCTTATTTTCTGATTACTGGCATGCATCTGGAAGGTGAGTTAGAAAAGACATTCAAACACTTCTCCCCAAAGGCACAGTGACCTCAAGGTTCAAAACCAGCTTTCTCCCACTGAAGCTTGAGCTGGTGCTCCCTTATGTTATTAAAACACCACAGATTTTCAGAGAGAACACATTTTAAATGAAGAATTCATAGGCACAGAGAAGTGACTCTGGAAGCTAAACAAGAATGCTTCAGCTAAAGATGGTATTTGTAGCTGCAGCTGTTTCTTAATTAATTTCTATCTGACAAACCTGGCTAAAAAAGGATATTGTAAAACAAACTCCAGTAGTTTGGCAGTTGATTGATTAACAGTATTTATTGTACATGTTATGAATGGCACTTACACCTTGGAAGTCCAGGTTCTGTAGCATTACATTCTGTTAGAAACAGTGCACAATCATTTCCCTAGCATGTATTTGCAGCAATTATAACTGCGATACTTTTCCAGTGCCAGCAATTACACTGGCATTTGTTTTCACACGATGTCCTTTTAGAACAGCCTGAGAGAAAGCAATCACTCATGGGACAGGATTTGTTGTTGTCTCTTGTTTGTTTGCTTTAGGAACCTTGCTGTGCATTTCAAAATCACTTCTTCAAAAAGAAGAACAATACAATTAGTCTCTTCCTGTAATATTCTTCATGTTAATTGAGACAAGGTTCACATGGCATAAGTTGAATGTTACAAGCAGGTTGCTGTGCTTTGAAGACAGCTTACTTGTTTGCATTAAGGTAGAACTGTGTATTTTAATGGCAAATATTTTTGAGAAGGTATAATCACAGATACTGTGTTGTTTTGTCTTAGTTTTTAACACAGCACAGAGGCTGCCACAATTACAATAAAACTTCAGCCTATTGTGATTTGTTTTCCTCCCAAAGTAACAAGGTCAACAGAAGAACCAACAGAAACTAAACATATTGCACAAGTAGTCAGAATGCACAAGCCAACCAGCTGGCTCTACAGGGGGAATCCAAGCTACTTCAGCTAAAGTAAATGGCACTTCTCAGTCAGTTTTGGCGTCGCTATGTCTCATTCTGCTTCATCCTCCCGCTCCACCGCGTCCCCTCTTTGTGCTCGGGGTGGCTTTGGGAATGATTAGGGGAGCAGGTTCCTCCCTGCTATTGCTTCCTGGAGGAGTTGCAGTTTGGGACCACTGGCCGCAGCCGCCTGGGGGACCTCCTCTGCAGGCGGCGTGGGGGTGGCACTGGGGGCGTCTCAGGGAGCGAAACGTGGTAGAAATTTGGCAAGCGAATGTCGTACCTAAACCCCTTCCCCACGTGCACTCTGTCGTTCAGAGCATACAGTTTTTCGGCAATGTCGCTCCCGATTAAAATTGAGAAGAGGCGTGAGATGAAACGGTGCTTAGCAAACAGCAAGTACAGCTTCTTTCTCCTCCAGGCCACATACCGACAATCTGTCTCTGCTGTAAGTGTTACCTACAGAACAGAAAATTAAAATTAGCTAATTCTGATGTTTCGTTGCATCTCCTGCAGCTAAAGCCGGTTTAATCCAGCTAGTGAGCTGTGTGAGGTTGCAAATGGCAAGCCAAAGGGATGACTGGGAGGGGATGCCCACAAGTGAGGCCTCGCTGGCTGTGGTGAGGAGGACGATCAAGCCTCACTGTACTGCAGGCACAAGGCTCCCTGCCAGTCATGCTCTGAATTTCACCTCCCGTGGGTGTGGGTAAAGCATCTCCTGCATGGTTTCTCAGATATTTTAGCTATCTTTGCACAGCAAACAAGAGTCCTACCTCTTGGATTAGCTTGTAGGAAAAGCTCGTTTGTTGTAACAACGAGATGCAAAGAGGATGCAAACAGCATGACCAGTCCACTGGGTAGAGGACATCCCTCCCCAAAACAGCGGAGTGCCAGATGTTTCATTTCAAAAACAGCACCCACAAGCAAAGAAAGTTATTTCCAGATTTTTTTTTCTAGTACTCAAAAAAAACCCTCCACTTTTACCTGGAAAATTCCCTCTTCTGTGGGCCTCAGTGAATCCCATTCAGGAGAATCCAGAAATTGAAGAGGAAAAATATAATGCAGAAACTCCCCATCAACTGTCACTCTGATCCTACCAAGATAAGACGTGTTAATTTGTTAGTACTGTGTGTACAGCAGCAACGACTGCAACAAGAATGTGTCATTACTACTAGGGGAGGAGTTTAAATGTAGCTTTGATAGCATGAAGAAACAACCACTGGCCAACACTAATTGTATTTTTTGAACCAAGCTGGATCAGACTAGTGGGGTGAGAATACAAGGCAATTGTGCAGCTGAAATTCAAACCTTTTCAGGTCACGTTATCCTCTCTGGGACAGGTTGGTGCAGCAACATGCAAGCTTGATCATGAAAAGGCTAGCGTGTGCTTGCGAGGTGAGAGATCAATGCACAGAGCACCGGTTGCCTCCTCCGCTTGAAAGCCACAGGATACACTTCCAGCTATGGCAAACACGCGTTTTGGAGGGAACAAAGTGGCAAAGGCAGTATGGTGTGGGAGTTCCCCATGTGTTATGCAGGGCTCGGTGTTGAAGGGGAATTAAATTGCCACATAACAACTGTCTCTGGAGCCAGGAGCCAGGATGGACATATGGCATCTCTGTGTGGCCTTCTGCAGATGCCAAAGAAAAATTTTCTTTGAACTTTTTTCTAAGACCATATTAAAGTTTGAGGGCCACAAGCAGGAAATGTTTGAATCTCAAAGCAAGCTGTAGGTGTCCCCTTTTTACATCTGCTCTACACCAAGATCAGCAGTTTCTTGCAAAAGCACAAGCAGCAGCCCTACACTGCATGCAGGAGCCTAACAGGAATTCCCCGCATGGTGACTGAGCAGCTGGGCATGTAGAAGGCTCAACACCTCCCCTTCACTATGACCATGACCAAAAGCAACCTCCACATGGTGCCTTCTAGATAGCTCCCAAGAATGCCCCAAACTCGGGTTCCAGCAAAGCTAACTATTTAGGATCCATATTGTTCACCGCCAGTCGTACTAAATCAGCTGAGTTTCAAGCTGCTTGCAGATTCCTTCTGTTTATGCATGCAGGCTGCCAAAACGCACCTACAAAGTGTCCCATCAAGCCTAGACCACAGCCATCAGTGCTGGGTATCTCATATAGTGCTGGGTATCCCATCTACCCTCGTGGTGGCCCTGAACCACTCTGCATGCAGTATGTCAGCGAGTATTTCCCCATCAGCAAGGTCGCTAGGAGGGTGCTCTGGTAAGCAAGGATAGAAGCAGGTGGATTTACTGCCTCAGGGTCTAATGAAGGGTCGCAGCACGCAGTAACTGTAGAGTTATGCATGTCTGGATGGGGCCCAACTAGGTCCCACTGCCCTGGCAGGGTGCTATCAGACCTCCTCTCCCTTGCCTCTCTCCCTTCTCCCAGACCCCGGAAAGCAGCCAAGAACAATCTAATAACAAAGTCAATACACTCTATTAAACTGTATTTACCTCAGTATATTCAGTTTCATAACTACATTTTAGTCCTGCTTCAGATGATATTAGCAGAGAAAACAAAAACACAAAGGAAGATGCTTTTTTCATCAGCTAGGTGATAGATGGCAAAATGTAGCCTGAAGACTACATTTGGTCCCTTTACCTGATACTGTGCTCTGACTAAGGATTACTTTAGATGCTTTTCTTTAAGCTATTACAGATTTTATGTTTAGTGTTTCTATGTTAGTGCTGCCCTAGACAAGTGTATTTAGCCCATTAATATTTATATTACTTGCATTAATATTTAATCTACTGTACTGGAAAATGAACAAACAATACACAAATGAGGCATTTTTGCTTTCATTTTCAAGAAGGGGTGGGGAAGATATTTGCAGTAAGTAGGTCCAAACAAACTGATACCAACCTGCCTGATACAAGCAAGGAGAGTTTATCGATAGGTGTTTTGCCTTGCATAGCGTAACAGTGCTCCTTTTCCAGGGTAACCACTTCTGCATCACAGCACAAGACAATCTTCCTATAAACAGTTAAGGAAATTCCTAGAGGCTGGAAGAGAGCACTGTAGAGTTCCTGGAATTCTTTGTCAAAGGAAACACTCCGAACTTGATAGGTAACATAAATGAACTGTACGAAGCATATAGCAAACAGTATAAAATTCCAGGAGAATATATCAGCAGCACAGACATCCAGCCAAGCCCAAACAGAAGAGCAGAGAAAGCCCAATCCAAGCAAACTGAAGACATAGAGAAGCCCAAAGAATCCACTTCCACCCATGAAGCCAACAACAAAGAGAATACTAGCTAGGTGGTAGATAGATCCCTCTGCCTCTTGCTTCCAGGTGGCGCATGTAGGGTGTGCATATATCAAGCTCTCCCAAAAACTTGCATTTTCTCCCATGGCTGGACTAATTTTTCGATTCGGCTGAATCTCTGAAATTGTTATTTATGCTGATACAGCCAGAGGGGTCCTTTGCTTTTCCATTCTTGCAAACTCTGCTCAATGATCACATAGTGCCAGGGTCTCTTTTGGTAGAAAAGTTGCACTTAGGATCTCCAGCAACTAGGAAGCTAATGTTCTCAGAAGGCAATGTTGTTTCTCATCAGTTCATGCGTTGTCTTGACTTTGGACGTGTCATCTGTAGTTTTATCTGATCTGGACAAGTGAAGAAAAGATGAATTACTTATAAAATGATTTCCATCAATTAAACTTGATCAAAGCTTTTATTGTCTAAAACCGCAGAATGCATTACAATCATTCAATTTCCCCTGTAACCCTATGATTCCAGGATCAAACCTTAATAATCACTCTAGTAGTGAAGATCATGTTTTTGTACACACGAAGCCTGCAGAAGCTGTCAAACTAGCCACTGAATCCACGTAAACCTGTACATAACATCCAGGGCATCCCGTGACAAGTCTGTCTGCAGCCTAACTGCTGAGAAAGTAGTTGCATTTTCTGGTCCTGAACCTGCTGCCTGCAAGCCCCATCTAATGCCCTACCTCCTTTGGGAAAAAGAGACTGATGAACTTTTGTCCCTTGCTCACTTCCTTCATGTCATTCTGGATCTCTGTCAAACCATTCCCTTCCCCTCTTTGCCTTTCTGTTATTGTTCATGAGCTCAGCAAAGCTGTCCCTGGAGATGGCAAGCTACATCCCCAAACATCCCAGTAAGAGAAACCCAAGCATCATGGGGGATGCTCTTTTCTACTCCAAGGATGGACAGCAAAAAGCTGTCATGTATAAGGAAGACTATGAGATTTAAAGGCAGCTTTACACAGATTGTGCTGTTGGAATGTGAAGCAAGTCATCCAGCAAAATACTTCTCACAAGGCATTTATAGAGCTGTTTTACAACAGTCCAAAGTTCTACTTTATGTAATTTCATGCTAAGAGCTACAATTTTATTGTTCAACACTGTAAAATGTTTAAAATGCTACTTTTTACCATATTACAATGTATTCTTAAGAGTTTAATAAAACCTAAGATATGCAACTGAAAAACATGAAAAAAAGAAAAAACACAAAAGCAAAACAAATAAATAAAATCAAGCCCAGCTTTCTGTGTCTCTCTTTTAAAGCAAAAATAAATATTTCACTGTGAAATTAGAAGCAGTAGAAAGTGCAAAGCCAGCTCCTAAACCTTTCAGTAATGTAACCAGAGCTGAAACCCACCAAGGTCTTCACTGTCTGTTTCTTTTCCTGGAAGAACCGCAGGGAAGCTAGCATAATCTTGCTATCTAAATTATTGGATTCTCCAGAATATCAAAGGCAGCTACTTTTTTTTTTTTTCCAAGAGCCACTGACATCAACACGTAAAAGAAGTACTACTGCTGCAGTGAAGCATCCAGTATTGTTCAGCAAGGCTTTCAGTGCTTTTCTTTTTTTCTTTTACAGTGAACAGATCTAAGAAATTCATAGAGCAAAGCCATATCAGGAGTCGGACTCGATGATCCTTGTGGGTCCCTTCCAACCTGGTTATTCTACGATATTACATTTCCTAGCTGCTACAGCTTTACTTCTTTTAAGTTTATTCAAAATTCAACACTAACTCCATAATTCACAAACATTAATGCTGGGAAAAGACACAAAATCCCAAACAACCAGGAAGCAGTTTAGAAGAGAAGGTTAGGAGGAGACCTCTCCTGCTTTGGGAGTAGGACAGGGTGTCACTGATCCATCAAAATGTCACAGCTAGAGAGAAAGGAACCTTTCCAAACCCAAGGTGCTCTATATCCTACTTTGGTGGAAGAAGCAGATTCCCAGGAACAAGGTACTTTGTAGCTATAAGCTTTGGTGCTTGTCTCTTTACCCAAACACCCTTCTCTGCAAACACAATCGATACAGGATTCCCCCTGGGAGCAGGATTTAGCCGTTGGAGGATGGGAGTTCAGAACCAACTGGCCTCAAAGCAGGTACCTCGGCGTGGTAAGAGTGCTGGGAATTTTAGGTAGCACTTCTATGACCAAGGGGTAAGATTTCTGAATGAAAAGTAAGTGCAGAACAAGCAGTGGCAGGCCTCCAGTTCTGAATCCACTCGGCCTTTCCATTGCACAAGTTTTTGTTCTTTTGAAATACCATCACTGGTAACAGTGATTTCAGGTTACTGTTAATACTTCTCTATTGCCAACATTTTGCTTCAACCAGTTGTCATCAAGATCCTACTTTCTACACAAAATTCAGTGTTTTGAATGGGATCGTGACTGAGATATTGCATGGGAGCTGCGTGCATGACACAAAGATAAACACCGTGGGTATGTACTGCAGTCTACCTTCCATTTCCAACATCTTTTTTCATGAAAGGTTGCATGACATTGCAATAATTTCACAAAATTTATGTCCAATTTCCAATCCACTCACAGCATTCGCAGCCTGCCGGCACTACAGCTCGGAGCACTGCTATAAAACATCTGCTTATGACAAGATGGATCAAAAAGAAATCCAGGAGAACAGCGTACCACTGGGACACAGACAGGGGGTCGCTATACACAAAACCAAAGCCCCCCAAAAAACGTCCTGTATTTATAACTGTTTATTTTATTAGCAGTTTATAAGCTGTCCCAGCTATGTGGCTACCACTTTCAGAATAACACAGACATGGTAGCTGCAGGCTGCTGGAGCCAGAGAAGCCTGGATGAGATCTCCCAGCCCAGAAAGACGCCATACCCCGTGAGCACAGGTGGGATTGCTGAAAGGTTTCTGGGTGTTTTACCCCACCACAAGTCTTTCCTTCTCAAATGTGGAGAAAAATCAGCCCTGACTTGAGTTGGGAGCAACATTCAGCAACATTCAGCAGCAAGGACTTGCAATAACCAACAGCTTCAAGGACTAAGCTGTCCTCAGACAGAGATAAAATTAAGGGGTTTGCTACAGCTTCAAGGCAGTAAATGGAGCGTCTCAAGTATATTCTCTAAGATAAGTGCTAGCCAGCAACTGAAAAGTTTGTATGAACAGAATATTAAAATAGACAAAGCAGAATGAATTTATGTTGGAATTTGCAGGCACATTGTATGATCTCCTGAAATGGGCATTTCCCCCATTCACTGCAGCATTCCCACAGAGAAACACCAGTTATGTAAATTGCAATTTACTTGAGAACCACGTACTTCACCCTGTATTTGCCATCGACGACTCAAAGTCAATTCTGAGAAGCACTGAGTGTTAGTTGCTGTGTGTTGAGTCACAACCATTTCTGAAACAAAAACCAAGCAGACCCAAACCACCCAAGGCCACAAGCAAGTCTTCTCTTTGGTCTCTTTAATTAAGTCGAAAGTGAAGCTGTCCAGAGCTGGAACACCCTGCTCCTTTGCTGCCTTACCCTCCGTACTCGGGCAGGAAGCCCTCATGATGCACACTGTATGAGTTGGCCAGAGGTGGAGCTGCACATGCTAATCCTGCAACCAGCCCAGCTGATCCACATTGCTAGCTACAGCCTCGCCACCAAAAGGGAAGATGTTCCAGCATACACGCTTCTATGTTTACATACATAAAAGGGAGATATGCTGCGTTTAGTAGGCTTTGTCTCACCTATTTTAGCCATCTACAGCACAGACTGGTTCTGCAGTCACAGCACCTGCCCCAGCCATACAGACAGGAGCCGGGGTTCACCCCGAGCTGGGGCAGGAGCACCCATGGCCCTGGCTTCAAGAGGGCCGAGCCCTGAGCATCCCACCCGGGCTGGGACATCTCATCCCGTCTGGCCATCTTTTATGCGTATGAAGAGAAGCTGCTCTTTAATTTTAGCAAGTGCTTCCTCCAACATAACGCAGTAGCTCTGTTCAGCAGCTCTATTAACGTATCGCTTTCTTCCAGTTCCATTAGGCTTCTGGAAACCACTCTCTGCTCTGCTACTGCCACGCATTTCTCTTGGTGGTTGTTTAAGTAGCACTGCTTCCCCCAGCTATTTTCCTTCAGCAGTTGCTCACCTAGGGTTAGATGCCCAAAGGGACTGAGATGACCAAACTTTGCATCGCACTGCAGTGTCTAACTTGTGCCAGGCACCTACAGACAGGCACGGCTGTGCACCCACAGGCAAGTATGGGCAGACAAACACACTGCTTTCAGTGATAAACAGCCCCTGAAGCATGCATACAGCAATTAGGACAGCAACTAACACCACAAGCTCACATCTCAGCTTACCTCACACTTTGTGGGTGTCTCTATCCTAGAGAAAGCAGCAACTATAATACTGGAAAACACTGTTTTCCCAAGAAAATGCAGCCTCCGCAATGCAGAGAAGGCTACAGTAACTTCATCACAACTGATAACATCTATTTGGGAGGTAGAAAGGGGAGGAAGAAGGATGAGGAAGAAAAGGACTACCTGATCTGAAAGACAAAGGTACCAAGATAACCAGTCACTATAAAACTACATATATTCAGATGACAAAGATATGCAAGTACAGGTAGCAAACTTCATCATTGGAATGACTTTGAAAATTCCCTTTGCTTACGAAAAAAATTATGAAATTAAAGAAATCAGGATTCTGACTGACACCTAAAATAAATCTGGATGTGCTGTTAGTAAAAAAAGGAACTGATTTACTCTAATTCCATTTTTTATTCCTACTGAAAGTCAGACCAGATGATTGCCATGATGTGGAAATGATGATTGCAAAGCTGTGTAGCTGGTCTTGCTACTGAAATCTTGAAGCCTACCTTATATACCAACTACGTAACTACCTTAGACAATCGAAAGCACTGAGCACAGGTAGGTCTATGAAATTATTCCTCATGTATACCTTCTAGCAGAAACTTTCATCCATGAGGAGCCAGAATCCCTCCCTGTAGCTATGTTTCTTCAAGAACGGGACCTTTTACCACTAAATGCTTTAACATGATACATGCACCTGACATCCAACCCCCAGGATCCTCCTTTCCAGGTGAGCACCCTCATCACAGCACAAACTGTGCCTGCAGCATGGTTCTCCCTGTCTCAGTCCCTTTTCTGCACACCACCACAGCTCCAGCAGGACGGGCAGGGAGCGCCCCACCCGTGTGAGCTGCTCTACATCCCTCAGGGCTCCCCATGGGAGCAGGGATGATGGATTTGCACTCTCTTGAGCTGAGGAAGGCATCCTGTGTCTCATCCCTGCCTGGCCTGCAGGACCCAAACAAGCAGCTGGGGCACTTCCAAGCGTTTCAGTGCCTTCTGAGAAACAAGCACCGGCCACAGTGGGGCTTTTCTGGGCCCAAATCCTGCTCCAGCCTGACAGAATTTAGGTTCCCACAGCCACAGCTGTCAACCAAAAGTGACCATCAGTCAGCTGCCACCTCACTATGGCACCCAGGGGCTCAGGTGGATGCTTGAGGCTGGCGGCTGTGGGCCCCTGGCACCTTGGCCTGGTCGCTGTGGGGCTGAGCAAGAAGGAGCTCTCCCTCAGCAGCCCTTCGGTGGGGCTCAGGGTTCATTCAGCTGGTTCGGCTGGGCTGGCAAGGCCTGCTTCTGCTTACAGTTGGCTCAAATAAATCCTCACTAGTCCTTTTTAGAAGTGGAAAAAAGCTGGGGGGGGCGAGGAGGGAGGGCAGCAAGAGAGAAAGGAAACCCACAGCAACACAGAGTAGTTTAAGGTTCATTAGGAGCACTGCACACAGTGAAGCCGCTATTATTTAGTCTTTAAATATTTAAAGGCCAGCCTACTATACACAGATTACAGTACTTGAACGATCGCTCGTTTATCACTGTAAAATACACAACGCAATCCTCTGTGGCTGCTGAGCCAGTACCGAGGATGCTATCTATTTTTTGCTCCAGACAGTATCTGACGTGGAAGAAATGACAGATTTTCTTCCAATCTGAATCAGAACTGATGAAAAGTAAGCACATGTGGTATTCATGACAAATAATTTCCCCTCCTTTCTCTCTCTCTCTCTCTTTTTTTTTTTTTTTTCCTAAGTTCTTCAGCTCCTATGAAACACGAATATGGAAGGGCAGTTGGAAAAATTTTACATTTTAACTATAGATTGCTGGCACTTGCATAGGTTTGTGCAAGACTTGTCTGCTGCTGAGCAGCACTGGACAAGCAATAATTCAGTGGTTCTCTTTTATTGTGTTTTATAATGAATACACCCAAGTGAAGCACAAGTTTAAGATTTTCTATGGTTCAACATTTAAATTAATAATAGAGGAAACAACCACAGCGCGTATTTCACAAGTGCTTTAAAACTGTGCTAATGAACTGCAGTTGAACCCTGCAGACCTCAGCATGAGTGAGTTTGTGCAGCAGTGCCCTTGGCCGGGAATGCATTCCCCTGTAACCAGCCACGTGGCATGGACCTCGTTTCCCAAAAAAGAAATAAACACAAGGGCTCGCTCCGTCACACTACACCTGGGCGTAAAACTGGGTTACAGAGTAGTGCCATCAACCACGCATTGAAACAGATACACAGCCGGCTAAGTCATGAAACTGTACATAAAACAGAGTGGTCCCAGGTAGCAGAGCTGCTGAAATTATTTATCCCTACTGGAGGGCTCAGGGTCACGAGTGACCAGCCCAGTTTGTGCTTTACTGGGGCAAGCATCACGTGGCTTTACAAGTAAAACAGCGCCGCAAAACAGCAGTGTGCCCAGAGCTCTGGCTTAGCACCACTTCCATCGCTCTTCTACCTAGGCGAGTCTGAATGCTCTCAGTCTCACAGAGCAACCTCACCACAAGCTGAGGCTGTGCCCCCCACACAAGAGCAGCAGAGGCGTCCCCAATTACATGCACTACATGATCACCCAGCAGCACCAATCTGAGTTCACTTTTGCAAGGCTGTGTAACGCGCTCTTAGGGTAAAATAAAATCTCATCTCTGAAGAGCCTGCACACTTCATGCAATAATTAAATGCAGTTTCAGCTAACAAGAGTTTTCCTGAATCCTTAAGAAACTTTGCTCTCAACTTTAGTCATAAAACACTTTCCTGAAACAAAATCTGCCTTCAAAATTAACCAGTATTATACTACATTCTGTTTTAACACCTATTCTCCTTATTACAGCATACTTGCTATTTTACAAGCTAGACATTTTCTTAAAAACACGCACTTGGAATTTATCGAGTTTGTTAACTGGCTCTGTGCAGAACTTTGTGCAAAGCCCCAACAGCAACAGTTCTGCAGACACGGAGACCATTTCTTACCTCGCTGTGGTCAGTGCAGACATTTTCACTCGTGCATACACAATCATTTTGCTATTAATCAACAGAGCAGCACGCAGCCCGATTTCTGGAAGCCAGATTTCATCAATGACATCTTTGTAACACTACCAGGTGGTCCATGATTGTATACTACACAAGATCAGCTACATCAAATGTTTGCCCATAAAGTGATTGACAGCCTAAATGCACGCAAAGCTTTACGGAGCAGCTGAAGAAAGTGTGGTAAAACATGATGGTTTGGGAAAAACATGTTTGGAAAAAAATATTATAGGTTGGGGGGAAAAAAAGTGTTTTGTAGGTTTTGTAGCTGTTTCTGTGCGAAGAAACTACTGCACATACAAAGCAGACCTTAATTTCAGGGCTCATCTCTTCTTGCTATTTGGTGACGGGGAGCGAGCAGCATCAAGTAGCTGCAGGCAAGGAGGCAAAGCAAAAGCTGAAGAAGTCTCCGGCCCCCGAGCTGGTTTAGTGGAAGTCCGGACAGTTCCCGAGCTGGCCGCTGCCCGAGCCGGCTGCAGCCGCACCCCAAGGAAACCAGAAACCACGCTTTGTAAGGAATACCCCCCAAATCCGGTATATGACGAGGAGCCTTATTTCGGGCAGACCCCTCGGGAGACGACGAGCTCTGCACACCGCCCTCCCAAAGCGGGGACGGGGACGGGGACCGGGGACGCGACCCCCGGCGGCAGCTCCGCGGCTGCCTCCCGCCCGCCCCGACGGCTCGCCCGAGGGCAGCGCCCGCTGCGCCCGGTGCCCGGTGCCCGGTGCCCGGCCCCTTACCTGTCCCCGTGCCCCCTGCCGGGCGCCCTCGGCAAAGTCTGGCGGCCGGTTCGGGACGGGCCAGACGGGGCGGCCAGAGGGGGGTCGCTCCCCGCAGCCCCCGGCGCCAGGCGCCGTCCCGGCCGATCCGATCCGATCCGATCCTACCCGATCCGATCCGATCCGGTCCCGTCCCGGCCCCCGGCCCCCGGCCCCGCGGCGGCCCCGTCCCGGCGCTGTGACTAAAATAGGCAGCGGCCGCCGCCGGGCTGCGGGCGGCGCCAGGCGCGGGGCCGGCACCGAGCGGCCGCAGAGCGCAGGCGCCTCCCGGCGGCCCCGGGGGGCTGCGGGGTCCCCCCGCCGAGGGGCTCCCGGCTGCGGCTCCGGGGTTCCCCCGCGGGGGGCTCCGAGGGGCTCCGGGAGCCGCTGGTGGCGGTGTCCCCGCGGGGAGGGGAGGGGAGGGCAGGCTGTGCATCTGTTTGTCCACAATCTGCAGTTATTTCATGTAAAAAGAAGCCCATGCCTCACCGAGAGTAGTACGTAACCCCCCCGGTGCTCCGGCCATAAATTCGTTCTGGCGATCGCCTTGTGGCTCGGGGAGATGGAGCTTGTTGATTGAATGAGACCGACTTACCCAGTCGGTAATGCACGTAACATCACAGCCCGTCCATCGCGTGTGCAGCTCCCGGTGTTGCAGAAGCTGCCCATCACTAGCTGCAGCTGGAGCAGTGCGTGTGTTTCAATAAGAAGCCTGGAGGACCCGGTGCGCTTGTTGGGTGCCAGTACCTGAGGTCCCCGGTAGCTCGGAGCAGTGCTCCGACATGAACCTCTCCAGGACTAAAGGGACGGAGCAACCTGTTGTGCTCCAGACAGAAGGCTTAGGGTCCTCCTTAACACCTTGGCGAGATTGCTTTCCCAGGAAAGCTCTTTATTTATGGTTTCTGGATCTGTGTTTTCCATGGAAGAAGATGCATCAGCTTTTGGGACAATTAATTCTCTTGAAACTTGCGAAAACAAACAGCCAGAACAGTTTAACCCACTGCTATCCCGAGTTTCATATATTCAAAACTTCATTACCTGGTTGCAGCACTTATTTTTATATCTATTACTTCAGAGAGAAAAATCTTTTTATAAATCTGATCAAGTACATATGAAGGTTCTTGTAGTTAATTAAACAGGTAAAGGTTTTTTTGCAGTGACACTCCAAATAATTACCTTTCAGACGTGCTCTGCATAGGGTGTTTTACAACTTGTCTAATTTTAGCTCTATCTTCTGAGAGATGTCTTTACTGGCAAAACTAAGGCAATGCTGATTCACATTTTTTTCTCTTTTTGCTTTTTGTACTTAGGCAGAGCTGACAGTGCCCAACCACTTCTTACTCATATTTATCCCTGATTTCCTTAGGCATAAATTAGCCCACTATGTTTACTCTGCATTGGGACAGAGAAATATAAATAAAATGAAAGAAGAATTGATAAAGTTTTGTATTTGATCTAATTATCTGTCAAGATTACATGATTCTAATAAATCAATATTAGAACATTTAAAATAGGTTCCCCCTAATCTTCATCATAAAAGACGGAAGAAAGTGAGTACATTTTGATGGCATGTCTCTGAGATACTTTTTGAGTATTAGTTACAAGCTTAGTTACAAGCCACAGTCAAGTCATCATAATTCCCCACAACATACAGGTCACTGAGGAACAGTTCTGATAGCACATTTTTTATTTTAATTCAATAAACTCTACATCAAATATTCTCTAGCATTGTAAGACTGAGCCTACAAATGACCTTCTAAATCTGCATTATGAATGTATTTAGTGCTGCACTTTACAGAAGTATATATTCGAAGCATGGCATAAAAAGGCGAAATGATCAAAACTAAGACCCCGATCCACTGAGAGAAGCAGCCTAGCTTTGAAATCCTTTTTAATAAGCCTTAGAAAAGCCTTAGTGTAGGGAATGACTTAGGTAAAGATTCTTAAGTTGAAGGCGATTTTGTTAGCCTTAATTTTTAGCTTGCCACATGGCAACTACACAGAGTGTAGTCTCATTTCTAAAAATGGTTGGCATTCCTCTTTCAAAATCAGGTCTGGATGGGAGAATGAAGTGAGACAACACTAAAATGACTAAACCACTGCATGTTGAGGGGAGGCAAGTGCTGGCTTGCATGTTTTGAATCAGCCACTCGAGCGATCAGACCACTCCAATATATTTAAAATGATCCGTGGTATCTATATAAAACAACTATTTGTAAAAGGTCAAATGACATAACAGATGCAAACCCAGATTTTAATGACAAAGATATAATGACAAGATGTAAAGGTCAGACTTAAAGGTGAGCTCACGAAAGAGCCAGCGGCAAGGCTCAGAAATCATGGCACCAGACCTGAAGAGCTGCAGGAGGCTTCGTGGCCCTGGACCTGGGAAGGGGCCAGTGCTCTGCCACGTTGCCCTGGCCACACACCCAGCAATGGCCAGCTGAGAGCGAGCAGCACAAATGCAGGGTTTGCTCCAGCCGAGCAGGGCAGGAAGCTGCATACACGCCTTGGCCAGCATCTCTGGGCTTGACCCAATGCTCAGCTGCAAAACTGGGCAGCACGAGCTTCTGGCTGGGTGTAAATAACCCTCTTATGCACACTGCTTGATTTATGGGGACACCTTATATGCACCTATCTCAGGGCATGATCCATCCCACAAGAAGTCTGACAGCTCCATAAAACATTCAGATTGCTTTGCTGCCTGCCCCTCAACAGCCCGCTCTCCGAACACCGCTCGCGGCTACCGCTGCCATCCTGGCAGGGTGACCCAGGAGTGCCTCAGGACTGCGGGCAGCTGACCTTCCCTGGGTGTGCAGACAGAGGAAGAAGAAAGCTCCTGTACTGTCACATTGTCTAGGAAACAGCCCCTTCTATTTCCTCAGCAACTGCTTGAGGAGGGACTTGCTTGCAGCATCAGATGGTTGCCTTCTCTCTCATCTCTGAAGTGAAGTGATGGCGTTTCTTCCCATCATGCTGTACTCTAGGAGTTATCAATAACTATGTTTAAAGGGAAGATTTTTTTATTTTCTTAGACTTTTAAGATGCTTAATAAATCTCTACTGCATTTTTTTTCTCTCCCTGCATTGTCCTTGGTCAATAAAAATAACTTATGGAGCAGGGGGATATGGTAGCAGGTGACATGATGAATTATCTCTTTAGGAAGTGATGTACTTTTTCTCTATGGATGTGATATTGTACTTTCTAGGTAGTCACAAGAGGGCAATATGTAGGAGCTCTTAGTCATTTTGGAATGAGAATTAAAATCTTTATGTACTTTGAAAAGGTTTTAGCAGACTTTTTTATAGTCTAATTCTTCTACAGACCCCCTGTGCTCCTTTTTGTTGTTGTTGTTGTTTTTTGTGGGTACAGCTGAAGCAAGAAGAAATGGCATTTCATTTGGGTAGTAAACTAGTTTTTATTACTGCCTTTTCCTTTTACAAGTAAGACATCGGCCAAGTCATGTCATAATACAATATAATCCTGTAGTTCGTATCATATGCAGCCTGCAAGGACTGAGCAAAATTCAAATTGGAAACATTTTTCAAAATGTCATTCAATTAACAGCATTGCCCATCAGGTACAGATAAAATAGTTTTAATTTAAGCAAAGGGCTTTTTCAGCCAAATAACATGCTAAATAGAACATTTAAGTTTTTATCTTTTCTCTTTTAAAGACTTCCGGATAATAGAATTAAAATCAAGTGTCCCCAGCTGCAGTTAAGGTGGTGAGCCTCTTCTGCACCCAGGTTTTCATAAACAAGAGTGTGAGGAATATAATTGCCTGACTTAGTGACTTCACACCCTTGAGACAGATGACCGTGGAGAAGAAAGGGGACTTCTCCTGGAAACTCGTTCTTCCCAACCTGACCTCTTTTCAGACACCAGCACCTAGAAGAGGCGGAAGAAGTGTTTAACACAGGATTTAGCTGTACTGACATGCAAATCCCAGTTTGTGGCTGCTGTGAGTGTTTAAATTCACTCAGTGAGTTCTTTCTTGGCTTTAGGTTTGTAGAGGGATCCCCTCTATGGACTGGGGCAGAGACAAGGAAAAGGTCAGAGCCTGACTTACCCATCCTCAGAGATCTGAGCACTGCGGATATATCAGCTGTTGTAAATGTAGAAGCCAGATGTTTCTACAAGAAACAAGATGTCTTTGGACCAAGAAGAGGAGTGCCAAAACCATGCAGGTTGAAAGCTCAGCACTTAGGGCACTCACATGGAAAAGGAAAGAGCCACATTTTTGATCTCGTTCTCAAGACTGTTTCCATACTGCAGCTAAATACAGTTCAATGCCAAGCACAGAAACAATTCTGAGAGTTAGCACTGAAGCTGGACCATGTGCTATAACCACTCCACCAGGGAGTTTCTGCCTTGCTCAGATACACCCCGTGGATGCTGAGCATCTCCAGGTATTCAGAAGCTGGGAAGTACAGCAAGGCAAATGCTTGCATTGCAAAAAGAGATTTTGATTTGAATTGTTCCTGACCTCCAGCTTCTTGGATGGGTGCTTTCACCACAAGACTGGTACGAGAGGAGGGATGTGGCTAACCTGTGGCTCTGTCACCCAGGGTGCCTCACGGGGCTGGGAGCTGTGTCACTGCAGAGCTGTAGGGCGCTTCATCCCTGCAGTAAGGCGTCTTCTTAAGTGGGAATATAAAGTTAAAAAGAAGGAGTGTAAATCCAAAGGCTCCTCAAAACATTATGTAACCATTATAGACATCAACTGTGAAAAAAATTAAAGGGTGTATTATAGTCAGGCAAAGAAAGCAGATGCTTTCCATCACAAAAGTTTAAAGACTTCAGGCAAGGAGACTAGTTTCTGTTATCGGTATCTGATCCTCTCTCTTGCTGAAGTTCTGAGTTGTCAGCAGCCTCCTACTAGATGTTGTCAGAAAAAGGAAGGAAACCCACAATTTCCAGCCTAAGTTTTCATGTCAAATATCTCAGTAGTTATATAATGCTTTTAATAGTTCTTAGATTTGCACTCCTAACTTTTAGCCCTATGTATTCTCACTGTTCATTTTGCTTTTTCACCTCCTTCCAGCTCTCTTAATCTCCTCCCAGAAGCCTGCTCTCTCAGTCCACACCAATCAAGCTATTTTCACAAGCATTGTTATTAAGAACAGATAAAGATCTTTTAAATAGATTATTACTGCTGCTCAGGGAGATCCAGATGACCAGTGTACCCACCAGTGCAAGAATTTTGCCCTGCTGGGGAAGTCCATGTTGATGTTACAACAAGTTTGGACTGACTCAAAGCCACACCAATTCCAGCTGACACAGGCTTGCTATCATTTAACTCATTTCACCTACTGTAGCTCTCATTCTCAGTGT